CGAATCTCGTATCCATATTTCCGACGCGAATGATTCCCATCAGTAATAATGCTCAGAATACATATATCATGGTCCCTTTAAGCAGCACGTTCGATGCTCTTTACTATTAGCAACTTCGCTATTAGTCCACATATACGTAAATCTCGTTACGACCACAGTCGGCGCGCTTCGACCTACAAATCGCTCCAGTTCCTATATCACGCGGCGCAACCAGTACCCATAAATCTCACTCTATTACCTGTTAACTGTTGAATCGACAGAATTCCGGTTTTCGTATATCTCGTTCCATAAAGCCGCGGATTTGCGGTTTTTTTCGATTCTCTCGAAGAGGAATCTTTCGATATTCGATTGCTTGTTCATTATACATTCGCCTGTCGTCATCAAATGCTCGTAAATACGTTTAACATCGTAAAAAGTAAATTTACGAGTATCTTATATCTCATTTTTGGACGCGAAGAAATAAATAATTTCTATCTCTTCTAAATTATTTTTTATAACTTTCGGAATATATTTTAGAAACGTCAAAAATTAATATTAGAAGACATTCCGAAATAACAAGAGACAAGTAATTGAATAAAATACTGATTTGGATTTGACTTTAAAAGACAGCGAGAGAGATATCAGCAATTATAAAATAAAAAACAAGATCGATAATTCCTCTCTTCTTTACTAATTAATATTTGATATATTAATCAGACATTATATTAATCATATATTAAAAGCGTGTGCATAATTTATATATATATATATATTATATTTTATATATATATATATATATATATATATTTAACAAATATTATATTTATAAATATAATTAATAAATATTACATTTATTAAACTATTTAACATATTAGTATTTTTTTATGCGAGAACGATAGAAAATACATTTGTTTAGAGACAGATGCGAGTCTCTTCTTATCTATACGCTATTTACACCTGTTTTTTTCTCTCGTTTCGTACTCAAAATGCGGACAAAACCCCGGGCTTCCGATGTCCCGGATGCGTCGCGAACAAAGCATCCCTCGAAGTCTCCATTTTTCTCGATCGTATATTAGCGACTCCTCTGGTCCTTATCGGGGCCGGACTTGTATCCTTAAACCTGTTTTCTGCATTCGTAACCCGATATGGACAATTCGTACGAGATCGAGAGCCGCGGCGGCGATCGTGAGAAGAAAACTGCCTTCGCAAACCACCGTATCGTTCCGCTGATTCACGGGGCTCTATTTTTCGTTACGCGTTTATTTCTGAATAAAATTTGACGCTCCTCGTTTAACGCGATTCCACATCGTCGGCTGAATTATTTATATATGGACGACATAAATATATATAACAAAATAATAACATAATCTTTTATAATTATTATAACATAAATCATAATTTTTCTCTTTCTTAGAGATATTGTGACATTATGACACTTTTTTTCTTCGAATTGAATAATATTTTCATAGAAATTCGATTAATAATGATCAAAATTCTCGTCGCGAATAAAAGCGACGATGACGATAAAAATCCACTCTGCGTTCACGGCGGATTTATTATCGCGACCAATAGGACATAAATCTTTTTTTACCTCGGTACGTTACGATTGCGCAACGCCGTAAAATCGTACCCCAACTAGCAAGAGATGCGTAATCGAAACGGTTTATGGCTGTTACACTTAGGCAGTGACATGTTTCTCATAATTCGATAAGGTAAAAAAAAAAAAGAAGAAAATGGTGTAAACAACAGAAAATAGAAACAAAATTGTTTATAATAATTTAAATTTTTCTGAAAAGAAAGAGAGAATATGAGATGATGAAATATATGAAAAAACTATATAATTGCTAATTATTTTTAATTCATAATATGACAGGCAAAACATCAGTTCGTTAGAATCGCATAACTCTGTGAAATGTCGGCCTGTTTCAAATTGAATGTCGCGTATTCGAGAAACGCGATTAATCAAGGCGAGAGCGCATATATAAAGGGTATCGGCCTCTCTCGTTGTCGTCGTCGCCGTCATCATCGTTCACTCACGCAGTTGCACCCCACTTTCGTCCACCCGAGAAACCAGCAGCAGCCAACTGGTTTAACTTGCTCGGTTCCTTCGCCACGAGCGTTTTAAGACGCGTGGTGAAGGAATGACGAAGGCATTCGAATTTTTGAATATTTTAATACTTTAAAGAAATATCGTGTTCGCGAGATTTATTTTATATATTTCATTTCTTTTATTTCATTTTTTCCTGCAACTCCCTCTCTCTCTTTCTCTCTCATCTCGTATTGTCTGTATCAATATACTTTCTCTCTTTTTCTGTTATATCAATAATTGTATCAAATGCCCCACAGTATATAACACGCGATTCTCGTCCTCTTGTAAATCGACCTCTCGTACAGCGGCACGCGTCCCCTGCTTGTCTTCAATTAATTAAGTAATAAAATTCCGTCGACATGCATGGCCGGCCGTGCAACTGCAATACGAGTTATAATTCGTCCTTGAATTTTGTATCAAGTTGAGAAGAGTATTCTATGTATAAAACGCTGGAAAAAACGCGTTTCTTTTGTAAAGAGAAACAAATATCATGATGCGAATGGCGAGATTTTTATCCTTATTTTTTTTAATTTCTGAGTATGCAAAATTATAAAGATAGCAGTCAATATGGCTGGAATAATTATTTTAAAAAGCTCTATACAATTTTTTTAAATTAGAGGCTATCTATATTTTATTTTGTTATTTTTGAATAATTGTATAATCTTCTTTGTGTAATTATTCACGATTCTTAATTAACTATATAGTATCAGATGCGGTTTTTATACTTTTTATCTAAATTTTTGTATATAATATTAATAATTACATCACGCGATAACGAATATAATACTTTCCGTAACAGCAAAATGACGAGTGAGTTCTCCAGATGCGCGAAGATTAACACAAATAGGCCAAGCCCCAGGCATTTACGCGTTTAATTATTATCACGCACGATTACACCGAAAAGCACGAGATACATAGAGCCACAAAGCCACAATATCTCGAAAATGAAACGCAAACTGTTTCCGCGCGTGCTTTAATCTTGTTTCACGAAGGAAACGATAAAAGAAGAATAATTTTAAATTCTTTTATTGTTCCTTTATTTAAAACCTGACAGAGAGGAAAAGAGAGAGAGAGAGAGAGAGAGATGCTGGATACTGGCGCGTTTAGATTTCTTTTTACAAATTGTATGACAGATAATTGCAACATGATAATATCGTGTATCCTGTAAATATGTGACTCGAAGATTAAACAAAATAAAAGATGAGATTACGGGCGATATAAAATCTAAAAAAATTGAAATTCTAGACGAGACGAACTTTTAAAATCGAGAGACATTCAATTTTTATTAACGCTGTAACTTCCTGCAAAATCTCCGCGTTTAGGTTCTCCCAGCACGTATCGCGGTACCGTCGAAACTCGACGACGACGACGAAACTGAGGGGATTCCGGTGGCGTCGGCTTTGTTTCCCGACGAGAACAATTGTACGGGTCGAGATGTACGCGGGCTTTATATGTGGAGACGTACTTTCTTCTCTCTATATATTGTATATCGATCTCCCTCTACACACATCTGCTATTTCCGGCCCGCGCGCGATGTCGGGTACATCGGGAAAGGATCGGATACCGAGGGTTCCCCGTGGATTTTCGAAAGGACCGGGGAAAACATCCCGCGAATTGTCATCCTGCGACGATTTTGCTGAATAAAGACGCAGCGAAACGTTTTCGCTTTTGTTCGTCGACGAGAACGCCTCGAAGGATAAAAATGAGGATGTTAGAGCGAAGAGAGCGTTCGTTTCGCGCGCGCGTAGAAGCAAAAAATTAAAATTGTTGATCTTTAAATCTCTTTCTCTCTTAAATTCTTATCTCAAAAAAACTCGGAATTTTTCAGCACAATATTTTAAACAAAAAAATATTTAGTAAAAAATATTAGAATTACACACAAAGTCTGAATTCTAAATTAAACATTAATTTTTTATAATTAAACGACTACTCCCTCTTGATTACGTCGCTATTAATTACACTACTATTCTAATCCATTATATATTTGAGATCCGAAGTCGATCGCTTCTTCTTAGCTCTCGCGAAATTCAATTAATTTCGCAAACAACGCAATCGAAGACTGTCGCTGAGAAGATCAAGATAAGATTGATGATCGGCTCTGGCAGAGAATATAGTCCTGTTTACTATTGGAGTCTATGCTGAATTAATCAGGATCTAATCTAGATACGACACGTATATACAATCGGTGGAGAACTCGAAGCTCAACCTCGGTCTCTTTCTCTCTCTCTCTCTCTCCCAGGCAACGCGTTCGTGCGACTGAGTCATTATAAATTACTGACTGTACGATAAGAATGCTAATATGTGGACGGACTTCTCTTCTCTTCGCTGTCATTTGACTCAATAAAACAGCGCTTTTAATCGCGGACCGTCAGCTGCGGGGTTTCATTACGTGTACGGCAACGCTAATCTGATGGTTCGTTAAACACAAGACAGTCCGTATCGTTCGTAAATCTTTTTGGCCTAAATCATTTAACTATCATCTATACCATAAGAGCTGTACGTGATAAAAATCTAAGTAGAAAAAACTGGTTAGACGAGGCCAGAAACTGTCCAGGTTTTACCACCAGAATTAGTAACTGTATAATGATTTAAGTACAAAATGCCATTTAGATAAAAACCTATTTAAATGGCTAGCTACTAATAATAGATAATTCTATGTTTTAGAGACGGCGTTGTAAAAAAAAAAAAAAAATTTCTGAGAAAAAGACTTGCAAAAATAGGCCAAACGGATATCAGTGAACGATAATTAGTTTATGTCTAGTAAAAACTCGGAGTACTTTGATTATTATTCTCCGACTAATAATTGTTTTTCAACCTATTGATATGCTCAAAAAATAACATGCTATCGTTGCCAATTATTATTAATTGGCGAGCAATTATCGAGACAATGACAACAACAAAAAATAACATGCCTTTCTTCTTTTTCTTGCAGATTAAACGAAAATGGCGGTTTTCGGCTTAGTCTCGGCGGTCGCCGGTTTTGTCAAGGTGCGATATCTGATTGACAAGGCCATCATCGACAACATGGTTTTCAGGATGCATTACAGGATCACGTCGGCCATTCTGTTTCTTTGTTGCATCATCGTCACCGCCAATAACTTGATAGGTAAACATATTCTCATTCAATATGCACTTCATGTTCTTTCGAAGAATTTTCTTAAGAGAGATTTCTAAAAGTCTTCTAGGAATACGATTGAGAAAATCTCTTGCTACCGAGTTCTATCATTAACAGAATAAAGTCTTCAAGAACGAAGTAAATACGTTTTTTGTATTAACGTATACTACTTGAAAAGAGCAGTTAATATATTTTAGTTATAATACTTGAAGTTAACGAGAGAGAGAGAGAGAGAGAGAGAGAGAGAGAAAGAGAGAGAGAGAGACGCATTCTAAGATGCAGACAACGCGTCTAAAAATAAAAGACTACGCAGGAATCATTTATTCTATCGGGCGTGCTGGATATTGCAGGGTTAAGGATCAATTGCATAAGTCAGTGCAATCGGTCTGGAACAGAAGCGAGACGAATACATTCCTCGGAGTTGTACGCTTACATCGTAGACAAGGTCTTCGTATATTTCAAACACCTAATCCTATGATTTTTTTTAGCGCTCTTTTATCGCCGCGCGACATACGATAGGTTTAACGACGTGGTTGATTAGAAGAAGCCGTGTTCGCACTTTGTAATCATAACATGCTACTCGGTATACGTGCCTGTTTCTCGACTACGATTGTCGAGTGAATCGAGGTCGCTCTTGCACGATATGATTAATGAGCGTAGGGTGAAGCAATAATTATGCAATAAATGATCATATGTAATTGTAGGAGAGTGTATGCGTTTGTTTTTCGTTAAAATCGTCATTGAATCGAGTTTATCTTGCGCGATATGTATCTCTGATCTCACATCGATTAAGAAATTATGCGTTAATTAACATTGTGCAGAAACAAATTAAAATTAATTGAATACATGGGAATAATAATTTATTTTATTCATAAAATTAGAAGCTTAATTTTTCAAGAATCTTAAAAAATTAGGGACATAACAAAAGAGAGAAAGTTTGGTGAGAATTTTTAAGAAATTAAACGTTCAATTTATTAGGAGATTTCCCGGGTGATTAAAAATAAATGGCTAATCAATTATGATTTCAGTATAATGTAGTCTTTGTTCATCGCTGTTGAATCGTTGCATAATTTAATTGCCGATAATCACATACATGTGAAACATCTGGTATGCATATGAAGCGCGATTATGTAGCGAACACATGTGATATTTGTCGATTTCATCTCGAGAAAAATCTTGGATAACGTAAACACAGAAAGTTTGGTGAGAATTTTTAAGAAATTAAACGTTCAATTTATTAGGAGATTTCCCGGGTGATTAAAAATAAATGGCTAATCAATTATGATTTCAGTATAATGTAGTCTTTGTTCATCGCTGTTGAATCGTTGCATAATTTAATTGCCGATAATCACATACATGTGAAACATCTGGTATGCATATGAAGCGCGATTATGTAGCGAACACATGTGATATTTTTGTCGATTTCATCTCGAGAAAAATCATGGATAACGTAAACACTAAAACTATATCAATTTATTAGGAGATTTCCCGGGTGATTAAAAATAAATGGCTAATCAATTATGATTTCAGTATAATGTAGTCTTTGTTCATCGCTGTTGAATCGTTGCATAATTTAATTGCCGATAATCACATACATGTGAAACATCTGGTATGCATATGAAGCGCGATTATGTAGCGAACACATGTGATATTTGTCGATTTCATCTCGAGAAAAATCTTGGATAACGTAAACACTAAAACTATATTCATTTTAATGACGTTCTCATTTTTCTCTTCTATTTTTCCACGAAGCATCGGTATATATTCGCTCAATTTTAATCTTCTTATAAAGCAGTAAGATTTTTTGTTTTTAAGTTATATGAGATGTAAAAATCTTATAATCACATCTTGAAAAATAAAATATCGAATTTTTTCTATCAAAAATATTTCCACAAATATTCTTATAAAATTTAGAAATATTAACTTGTACAGGAATCGACGCTTCTCATAAGTTTCTTTATTATTTGAATCTCTCTTTTATTAATTAATTTTATTGGCTTCAAATATAAGTGAATTCAAAAGAACAGAAATATAGAAAGTACAAGTAAATATCCCTAATTAAGAAACACACGTACTATATAGATTTGTGCAAATGTAACACAGAACGCGTCGCGAATTCAATGCTCGCATCGACATCGGAAGGAACATCTTCATTACGGTTCAAGAGAGCTTCATCAAGATACTAAATGAGAATGATACTCGGATTCTCGAGCTTCGAGTGTCATTGTCTAGAATTCTAGAACGACAGCGCAGCATCCGCGAAGCGGATCGTTTGCGGCGTGACGTGACACGTGAAAAGTTATCTTCGTCGCGATAACACCATCTTCGACGTTCGTTAATGCCACGGGATTAACACACGTTGCACACGGTAATTCCGAGAGATTACTCCGGTAACGATGTTCGCGCAAGAAAGGTAAACGATAGGTTCGCACGAGGAAGATATACGATATGTTCTTGAAATAATCACTGCTTATCTTTTCTCACTATCGAAATAAATCGCAAGTACAATCGTTTCTTATCTTGTCATCAGAATACAATTAATTTCGATCCAAAAATTTTTAACTCGATAACATCATAAAACAATATTTCGATTATCCATGTATCTTTGAATCTCGTTTCTTTGATACAAATAAAGATCTGTAACTACTTATAATTAGTTTATAGATGTGACAGAAAAATCATCGATTTTATGGATTAATTATCTGTCTATCTAATTATTTGTCTATTTCCGCACAGGCGATCCTATCAACTGTATATCGGAACTTGGCGGCGCCGGCCACGTGATCAATACTTTCTGCTGGATCACGTACACGTTCACGCTACCGGCGAACAACGCGAAACCCGTGTCCACCCACGTGGCCCACCCGGGCCTGGGTACCGATGTCGGTGAAAAGAGGTATCACTCGTACTATCAGTGGGTACCGTTCATGCTGTTCTTCCAAGGTGTGCTCTTCTACATTCCGCACTGGATGTGGAAGCAATGGGAGGAGGGTAAGATCAGAATAATATCCGAGGGTATAAGAGGTGCCATGGTCGAGACCAAACAGGAGCGGCAGGCCAAGGTCGAAAGACTGGTCCAGTATCTCATCGAGACCCTGCATTTACACAACAGCTACGCCGCCGGATACTTTTTCTGCGAGGCCCTCAACTTTCTCAATACTGTAAGTATATCGCAAAAAAAGTTCTCCACTAGTGAGTATTAGGCTATTTGGATGATACCGTAGCGGAAATTAAACTTCGATCTTGATTATAGACATCTGATTTATAATTTCGTTATTATAGGACGTTATTCTATAATATTTTAATCGCATAGATGAATAGAAATTGTTTCTACGAATAGAAAAGATTGCGTTCCAAACTCTTTGTATGAAATTAATATTGTTTTCGTTTTAGGTCGGTAACATATTCTTCGTGGACGCCTTCCTGGGCGGTGCTTTCCTTACGTATGGCATGGACGTAGTCAAGTTCAGCAATTTGAATCAGGAGCAACGTAGCGATCCGATGATCGAGGTGTTTCCGCGTGTGACCAAGTGCACCTTCCACAAATTCGGTGCCTCCGGCACGATACAGAAGTTGGACGCGCTCTGCGTATTAGCGCTCAATATTCTTAATGAGAAAATCTACATCTTCCTGTGGTTCTGGTTTATTATCCTGGCTATCATGTCCGGCTTGGCTATGCTGTACAGCACGGCCATAGTGTTGATGCCCAGCACGCGCGAGACGATCCTCAAGAAGCGCTTCAAGTTCGGCACACCGACTACGGTTAGCGCGCTCATCCGAAAGACTCAAGTGAGATATTTTTTCGATTGTTAAAAATTGTCGATAATACACACATAAAATTGATTCGTTATAGAGAGAAGGGCCTCGACAAAACCTTCTCTCTAGTGAAATTATAAATCCTGAAATCTAAGAAAAAAAAATGAATTTTTTTAGGTCGGCGACTTCCTAATGCTCCATCTGCTAGGTCAAAACATGAATCTCATGATGTTCAACGAGATGCTAGAGGAGTTATGTCGCCGTTTGCAGTTTGGCAGCGGCAGCGGCGCATCGCCGACATCGGTACCGTCGGCGCCCAGCACCCTTGAGATGTCGCCGGTGCTATACCCGGAGATCGAGAAATACGCCAAGGACACCGAGATCTAAATGCAAGAGGAGGCCCCCGTCGATTCGACTTTTTTTCCATCGCTCCTCCCACTTTTACTTCTGTCCGTATTGTGATAATACCGAGGGCGGTACCTGTGCCGCCGTTGTCTCGATGCCAATAAAAAGATAGGTTCGTGCCGCATCGTCGGGAATCTTACCGCGCTCGTAAAACGCGTGACAGACGCTCTCCTCGACGTCTCCTGCCGCCCGTCGAGGCTCGTGTCCAGCGCGGTCTTACTATCACGTGACGCTCGTAAACTCGAAGCAGTGAGCCTTAAAGAGCCTTTTGGTCCTTGTCTTCTGTCGACGGAAACTTTGCTCATTACCGTGCGCTCGTAAAGTGCGAGTCGGTTTTTGACATTTATGCCTGACGAATCTTCCAATCTGTACTGAGGATTACTGTGACATGTGCTCTCCGATCCTCTCTTTCTCTTTATTCAGTCATATTTCTCAGTTTTCATAGGATTATTGCGCGAATTATTTCCGACTAAAATTTCATTTGTAAAGTTTCAGCGTCATTATTCGCGTGTAAAATATATGCGAGTTCGCCTCATCGCAGCTTCCTGTTTGTCGACGCATTTGTCCAATGAGGTCATTATGAGGTTTTTATTTAACGCTGTTATTGCTGTTACACGCTCGTATAAACCAAGCTTGAAAAACACGAGAAATAACGTGAAGCAATGCCAACATTCTTATTTATTCAACAGTCATTATGAGAAATTTTCATTTACCGCAAAACCGAAGTTAAAATACATAAAATCGCGCGAGCCAACAACATTTTTTGCCGATTATTTTTTCAATGAGAGTCTATATTAGTCTATAGAGTCTTACATTAACTAATAGATTTCTATTTTCTTAGAAATATTTTCATTTGAATAATACGGTGAAAACCGTAAAGTTAAATATTAAAACGAGCAAAGACGAAGGGTACGTTGGTATCTTACACCGGCCGCGGCGGCACGAACCGACATTAGATTATCGAATATATAATGTAGGCGATAATGCGCGATGCTCTCGAATCGATAAGACATTGGCACGTGTGACTGTTCGTAATCATTAAGTCGCAACAGGTGCCTAAAACTTTCTTTGTTAGATCAAATCATTTTAATTATTAATCGTTCATTCCAGATCAGTGCCAATATATTTTGATGGTAATTTAGGAAAGTATAACACACGTGGAATTAATAACGGTGTTCCTTAACTGTTGTTTCATGTCACGAATGTAACATTCCTCTTACTGTAGATCATTGAGGAGAAGAAAAGAGCAAGCGTCGAAGCTATGATACACTGCTATACATTACTTTCTTTCGATACTTGCTTTTGCGATACGTAACAAACGCTCCGCCGATCGCTTATAATAGGGAAGCGCGGCAATATATTATATATATTATATATACATATTTTTCATGAAATAACATAGGAGATTGTCCATTATTCCTCACGTGATGAGAAATGTGCGCTATCGTTATCGATCTCGTCACATCGCATAGAAATTTAAAAACACACCGGTAGAATACAAATCCTGCTCAACAACGAATCCTTCAAACAATTATATGTTATATGAATTTTCACACACGAGTGATCAACCGAAAATTTTTTAGAAAACGATTCATTTTGATACTAGAGCGAATACACGCGAGTCTCGCATGTCGTAAATAAAACAATATCGCGCAATTATTAACTGCGAAAACATTGTAAAAGATCAACATATTAGTTGTCATATATTTGAAACCAGTGCACTGCCTAGTAATCTAATAGAAACACAAAATAATACATCCATAGTTTAGATGGCGGAAGGAACGGGCGTTCGCGCATCATATGTCTCATTCTTTTTTTCTTTCCAATTTTCTTATAAGTATTTTTGTGCGACTGGTGCAATGATTGTAGCGTGAATTAAATGAGTGGTGTAATTTGATTTAAGAAAAAAGAGGATAGGGAATAATATGCGATATTCATGCGAACGACCGCATTCACATAGAAGATCGCCAACAATTAAGCAAGTGGATCAAAATAACGGTCGTGTGTGTATGTGAATATAATTAATATTAATATTATATATCAATATTATTATAACATTAATAATAATACATTAATATTATTAATGTTACAGTAATTAATATTCTTGAACCGTGAACAATTAATTAGTAAATAATTTTTCATCAAATTAGAGATAAAGAAAGATCGATTTTTTAAGATTTGCTACGTAATTTGAGAAATACATAAAGTAGAGGAAGAAAAGTTTCTAGAATGGAATATGTATGGGATTCCTCTATTGCATAACTCACGATATGAAAAGATCTTCATATGTCTTTCTTAAAGATATAATTAAGTACTTCATTAACCCTAATTGGGATCGCTTCAATTCGTTCGCGAAAAAGTGTTATCGTCCCCGATATTATAATCGCGTACGTAGACTTATTATCCCGTACGTAGACTTCACTTCTCGCAATTAATTATTATGTACATAAATATTAAAACGAGCAAAGACGAAGGGTACGTTGGTATCTTACACCGGCCGCGGCGGCACGAACCGACATTAGATTATCGAATATATAATGTAGGCGATAATGCGCGATGCTCTCGAATCGATAAGACATTGGCACGTGTGACTGTTCGTAATCATTAAGTCGCAACAGGTGCCTAAAACTTTCTTTGTTAGATCAAATCATTTTAATTATTAATCGTTCATTCCAGATCAGTGCCAATATATTTTGATGGTAATTTAGGAAAGTATAACACACGTGGAATTAATAACAGTGTTCCTTAACTGTTGTTTCATGTCACGAATGTAACATTCCTCTTACTGTAGATCATTGAGGAGAAGAAAAGAGCAAGCGTCGAAGCTATGATACACTGCTATACATTACTTTCTTTCGATACTTGCTTTTGCGATACGTAACAAACGCTCCGCCGATCGCTTATAATAGGGAAGCGCGGCAATATATTATATATATTATATATACATATTTTTCATGAAATAACATAGGAGATTGTCCATTATTCCTCACGTGATGAGAAATGTGCGCTATCGTTATCGATCTCGTCACATCGCATAGAAATTTAAAAACACACCGGTAGAATACAAATCCTGCTCAACAACGAATCCTTCAAACAATTATATGTTATATGAATTTTCACACACGAGTGATCAACCGAAAATTTTTTAGAAAACGATTCATTTTGATACTAGAGCGAATACACGCGAGTCTCGCATGTCGTAAATAAAACAATATCGCGCAATTATTAACTGCGAAAACATTGTAAAAGATCAACATATTAGTTGTCATATATTTGAAACCAGTGCACTGCCTAGTAATCTAATAGAAACACAAAATAATACATCCATAGTTTAGATGGCGGAAGGAACGGGCGTTCGCGCATCATATGTCTCATTCTTTTTTTCTTTCCAATTTTCTTATAAGTATTTTTGTGCGACTGGTGCAATGATTGTAGCGTGAATTAAATGAGTGGTGTAATTTGATTTAAGAAAAAAGAGGATAGGGAATAATATGCGATATTCATGCGAACGACCGCATTCACATAGAAGATCGCCAACAATTAAGCAAGTGGATCAAAATAACGGTCGTGTGTGTATGTGAATATAATTAATATTAATATTATATATCAATATTATTATAACATTAATAATAATACATTAATATTATTAATGTTACAGTAATTAATATTCTTGAACCGTGAACAATTAATTAGTAAATAATTTTTCATCAAATTAGAGATAAAGAAAGATCGATTTTTTAAGATTTGCTACGTAATTTGAGAAATACATAAAGTAGAGGAAGAAAAGTTTCTAGAATGGAATATGTATGGGATTCCTCTATTGCATAACTCACGATATGAAAAGATCTTCATATGTCTTTCTTAAAGATATAATTAAGTACTTCATTAACCCTAATTGGGATCGCTTCAATTCGTTCGCGAAAAAGTGTTATCGTCCCCGATATTATAATCGCGCGTCTATCCCGTACGTAGACTTCACTTCTCGCAATTAATTATTATGTACATGGTAATTCTCCTTCCTGTCAGCAAACAATAGAAACTTTCCCTCGACGTTCAGATACGTCTCTCCTCCCTCTGCTCCCCCCCCTTCGCGTCCGCGAGGACGATGTGTAAACGCTGCCGACAATAGCTATGTATAACGACAATAGTGTTAAACGCTACGATCCTTCCCCTTTAGCCATTAGATTACCAATTATCGCGCACACAGTGATATCTTAAGGTAGACATTTAAGATGAACGAGAGAGAGGGAGAGAAAGAAAGAGAGAAAGCGAGAGAACGAGGAAACAATTATATAGGTTTAGTAGTTGTTCGCAATGTGCCTTCCATATTATAAGATACGCGTTAGCGTATCAGCGTATTCTTTAAGAGGAGCGAGACACCTCTCCCGTCTCGCGTTCGATACGAGAGGAAGACTGCCAATATGTGCAACGTCGTTGTAGTAATTAAAATATGAAAGAAAAATTATAGAAAATAAACCAGATTCTTTCCAACAACGAGATCCATCATTCGACTTTCCATGCGTGAACTTAATCACACGCGAGAGTGTGAAACAATCCCTTTCGAAGCTTTTTCTCTTTCCTCAGCCGCATGGCTGAAGCTACTCGAACGACAAACTTGCAGCCAAACAAATGGACCACGTTGTGCGAGAGTTAATTGATTGAAATTTTTCTAGACTTACCGATTCCCCCAATCCACTTTATTGATTATTCGCAGTTTCAGCTCTCGCGTTTGATCCGTGGTGAGGGTGCCGGCCAAAAGTTGCCGTCGCCATTCCAGCAGCTCTCGCATCACTTTGCGCAACGCGTTGAATTTATACTCCTCGCGTTCCTGCGACAGACAGCAAAGATAGATGCGATTGCATTTCAAATCATTAAAAAAGTGTCACGTATATACTTAAAAATAAAGAAAGAGATACGCGTGTGAAATATCAATTCCCTTTACCTGTTTTGCGTAACTTTACACAATGTGAAAAACATCAGAAGATATTAATTATTGAGACGATTGTACAAATGAAGGAAGTTTATTCTCTCTCGGAGAACCTTTATCAATTTCAGGATATACATATAAATCTCGGAAATGACGAAGAGAAACTTTTAATGAATAATAAAGAATGAACGAAAGAAATTAAGAAGGGAAGCATCGCAATTTTCTCCGCATTGATTGCAATTTTTAATAACGGGAAAAATATTCCCTTTAACCGAAGCGCACAAAGGTAGAGATACTTTCGCAGATAGAACGGGGCAGGGGAAGAGAGAGCGCGAAGCTCTCTCGGAACGAAATATACTCACCACGTACAGCCTCTTCCAAATGCTGCCCCACTCCCGCAGAACCAGGGTGACTTCCCGTACCACCGGATCATCCAACGGTATGACGGACTCGAAGAGGCCTTCATTGTCGATCTTGCAGGGCTTCAGATGCACGTACGTGCTCGGAAAGATCCCCTTCACCGCGCGATTCTTCGTCGAGAAGCCTCTGTACCAGCCTGGAATTGTCGGAAATCCCGACTCATTGTCAGTAAAATCGAGATCAATCAAATGATCTATCAAATGATTCGAAGATCTATCAAATGATTTATCTTTGAATTATAGAATGTTCCGTATGCGTCTCTTTAATTTTTTTCCCCCTCCGTCGACCTCATTCCCGATAGTCCGCCCAACTCTCAGGATGCTGTATCATCGCGTTTCCTGATGAGCTCATCGCTTCCCTTGACCTTAAACGAACGCGGAACTTGCCATGCGCGATCGGTATATCGATCACTCTCAAGAGAGAAAAAGCGAAGAGAAAAGATGTTATCGAATAACGTACCCGCGCACTCCTCCAGAATTTGCACGGTTTCTCCGATTTCCAAGGGCAGTCCATAGCGCGTGTCCCCTCGCCAGTTGTACACAGCTGTAAAAGAGAACATAACGGACTATTATCTGGGAGCCGTGCTGTCATGATGCGATATGACGCAATGATATTTTTAACGAGCGTTGTCGCCCTGTCATTCATCAGTTAACTAGATTTCGCTTTATCGCCCCCGTGTAAATTAACATAAACATCGCGCTCGATAGTTGCACGTCGCTGATCACGCCTAAATTTGCATTAATTACAACCTAGATAAAGCGCGTTATAAAATATAATTTTCAGTATCATATGATTAACTTTATACATCATTGCATATTATTACTTTATTATTTTTAAATGTGTGTAATATTATAATTTTATATATATATGAAAAAGAATAAATGGCGCGCGCGAAGCGCGCGCTTTGAAGTGTACTGGTAATGGATATGGATGGCGCGCGCGTAGCGCGCGCTGCGTGCTAGTTATAATAAATATTGCAACACTGCACACTTTTGTTCATACATCAATAGTTACCAAATTTAGGCGAGTGATATCGATAATAACATCTGCTTATCGTGCATCATGTATGAATTAGGTTAATGTAGCTCTGTCCCTCTCTCTTTATAGAGATCGATACACGCCACCGGCTTCTTTCCTAGAATTGTCAGCCCCGATAAGAGGCGACTTCGGGGCACCGGATACTTGTCACGTATGACGAGCCAGCTTCCGGTCCACGACTGCCGGAGAAATGCACGCGAGACGCATCTCAATGAGTGCGTTACTCTCTCTTTCTCCGCCTCTCTTTCTCGCTGTGTCTCTGTCTCTCTTTTTTTTCTCTTTCTCTAACTCTTCCTGCGTTTTCTCTTTGTGGTAGGTTTATGTATGCGTAGGTATACAGGATGTGTAAAGAAAGCGAGAGATCTAAAATCTCGTGTTTCTTTAGTTTTTTATTTTATATGATAGACATCTCCGTTTATTTTCATTTTATTCACTTCAGTAAATTTCTAATATCTGAGTAATATTGTTATCAAAATGATTAATAGCATATAATTTCTAAAAAAAAGATATATTGGAAATTAATTTTTTTACTTTCTTTCTAAGGAACAAGGAAATTTTTTGTCGTAAAAATTTCCATTAAAAAATAGAATGTACCTAAAACCTCTTGAAAAATATTTTTCATCCTTTAGCAAAGCATATTGCAAATTATTATTATATAATGCCCCCGATATAAAAAAAAAAAATTAACAAACGCTAACGTTTGCGATTCAGCATTTCGGAGGTAGAAATTTGCAAATTAATGCCAAGGACAGGATGTCGCTATTCTGTCGCGTACTTTTTGGAACATCCTGTATACATTAACTGCCATTGCGCATTTGCTCGCCCACTGA